CACACACACACAGGCAGCCTGACTGGGATCTCACAGCATCCCAGGGAGAAGAACCCAGGGGAATTCCACGGGGCAGAGCACACTAAGCACTCCTTTTTTTTCCCCCTCACTGTTTTCTAATAAAGGTCACAGGGGAAAAGAAGTGCTGCCATTTAAGAAATGAGTTATTAAGAGGAAAGGCTCCAAGAAATCCCTTTGTAGGTTCTCCTGAGGACTCTGAGCTGTCGTAGCTGCTCAAATGGATGAGTGACACCCTGCAGAAAAAGAAAAGAGTCCTCAGGGAAGCACTAGAGGAGCTTTATTCAAGGGAATTGAATAATGTCTGATATAGGAAAATTTGTGATGAACTGATGGATCACAAGGAAGGAGTTCAAAACACAGTATCCAAGGTTTTCTTTAGTGTGAAGGTAGTGAGACACTGGCACAGTTGTCCAGAGAAGTCGTAGATGTCCCATCCCTGCAGGGCCAGATTGAGTGGGGCTTAGTGCAACCTGCTCTGGTGGAAAAGTCCTTGCTCTAGCCAGGGGGTTGGAACAACATGTTCCTTCAGGTCTCTTTCAATCAAAAAACTCTAGCATTCTAGGATCACAGGACAGGCAAAAACTCTCTTAGAGCTGGCCAACAATGTGCATCCTCTGAGGCAATGCTTATTCTCCTTGCAACTGCCTCAAGAGATTTTTAATTCAACTTTTTATCCTTTTCACTAGACATGCTCCTGGCTAGAACAAAATAAATTATCCTTAGCTATCCAAATGAAAATTAAAAAGCATCAGTAAGACTTGACTAACATCTTAACACATTCCAAATTTCTTCCAAACCCATATTATTATTCTGAACAGGACAGTGTAATCAATCCCCTCCTACATTCTTTTCACTGTTCTAAGTAACCTTTTTCTTTAGTTAGAGCTGTGGTGTTGCACACTTGCAATCTACCAGAAAAACCTTAAAATAAGAAAAACTATTTTTGCTCTTTGCCCCATACTCATCAGGCACAAAAACAGCACCAAAAAAAAATCCTCAAGGTTACTTTATTCATGTGCTCTCAGACTGGACTGCATAGTCTGACTCCCTGTTATCCAAAGCTTCATTTTCTGAGAATGGCACTGATTTCAGTAAACCTATTCCCACAGGTTAAGGACAGGCCAGTGAGATTATTTGAATGACAGCTCCACATACCCATACCTTCATCCTGAGAAAGCAGCCAAAGATAGTCAAAATGGTTCCAGTCTAAAAAGATTAGGTTTCTTCAGTCCTGAAAAGAAACAACTAAGGGAAGTATAAAAATACCCATAAAATCAGGAGTGGCATGGAGACAGGGAACAGGTAGAAGCTGCACATGCACTCTCTCCAAATTAGAGCTAAGGGCTATCAGACAAAACCATAAGAACAGCTTCAAAACAATCTAAAGGAGGTGGTTCTACACAAATGTGTATTGCAGCCAAGGAGCTCATTGTTCTGAATGTTGTGGATGACAGAAGTTGACACAGGGTAAAAATTGGAACATTTCTCTGAAGAATAAAGTACAAAGACAGGCACTGCCTTTGCTGTACAAAAGCCCTGCACCACAGAGTGCTGGAAGCAAGACAGTTTAGAAAACTACCACTGCACTTGCCTGGGTGCTGCTGTAAATGGGACACTGGACTAGATCCAGCATGTGTATTCTTACATCCTTATGAAACTTTTTTTAACAAGACAAAAGATTGCTGGGAGGAAAAACAAGATTAGGAGATAATGTTACTGAATGCTTTCAGTAGTCTGCTAAAAGCAGGAAAGAAAGAAGTATTACTTTTTCAGAAACTCCAGTGGAAAACGGTGCCTACAATGTTTTTTCCAAAATGCAATCATGCTTCTTGTTCCAGTAGTAACCTTGGTGTCATGCCACGTGCTCCTCATTACAGTTTTGAGTGCAGCTTGCTTTGAAGTGTTACTGTGCCACTCAAAATGCACTTGCTCTTTATGTGTGTTCTCACACAAATCTGCTGGCTTGAGCAACAGAACACATTTCTGCGCCTCCTAATTCCTGCTTGCCCTAAAATTGAGGAGCTTTGTCCTCTTCTGTGTGTCACCAAGAACACTGATCACAAAGACACAGCTGAGTACCTAGGGAAAGCCTTCCTGAAGGGGTCAGATGTTACATAAGGAGTTTACATTCAGCTTGCAAGGATTTTATTGATACAGGTAGGTCACAAGAAGGAGGAGACCCAGGACAGCTCCCAGATCCCTGGTATGTCTTTGGGATAACAAGCTAGCACAAAACTTGTAAGGAAATATATTTCTAGTTATAAGATCAGGCATCACTAAAAGATTTTTTGTGCATGGAAAGTTCTTACTTCTATAAAAGCATGTTCAGATTTGCAATAGCATGTACAAATGTTATCAGAACTGAAGTGGGCCTGGTGCTGCTCTCTGTTCTAGGAGAACAGGTCTCTGCGGGATGGGCAGGAACTCCATCACTCATCACTGGGTCTCACACACAGCGTGAGCTCTTCATGAGGCATTAAAAACAAAGGGAAATAAAACAATTCTACCATTTGGCAACAAATCTTGGGAGAAAGATCTCTCAATTTCATATTGAGGAAAGGTTCAGTTACATTTGGATATGGCTCTTGGCAGCAAGACAAAATTCTGGCCTACTATTTCTCCAAAGTACGGGAAGATGGAAAAAGTTAAATAATCCATGAGACTTCAAATGATAATTTTTATAAATACTATGAGATTTAGAGGACTTAACCCAAATATAAGGTGTCCAAATAATACTTCATTTCTAACCACATGTCTGCAACATAAATGAGATCCACAACCCTATAAAAAACCCTCAACTCTTCCTTTTCTGATTTTCAAATTTATTCATAGGAGAACACTTCAGTCATCACTGAGCTGTGATTGCCTCTTGGGCGGCAGGCAGCACTTAAACTGCTCAGTGCTTGGGGATGCAACCAGATGAGACAGATCCAAGAGAATTATACCTGGCCACAACAGCCCAAATCCCCAGGAGCCCTGTGGCTCTAACTCTCACTGACACCCATGGCAGCATGGCCCTAAATAACTGCAGGGAGCTGTGGCAGTGCAGTTATTCCAAGCAGAATTTGTCCCCTCCAGGAGTGATGCTGGATAATGGGAAGCTGAGACACTTTTTGTTTTACTCCTCCTGCCAAGAGCAGCCTCCAGACAGAGCTGTTGAGCCAATCATGACAGTCACCAGTTTCAAGGCAGCTCTGCTGGGTGGGTGACAATGCAGAAGGCCTCCCCAGTGTCCACAGCAAGCCCAAGCATCAGCATTCACATGGCTGGGTCAGCACACTCCAGCTCTGAGTAGCCCACAGCAAGCTGCCAGCCCAGCTTCTGCGAGCCTGAAAAATTCCACTGGCAGAACAAAGTGTATAGACAGACATGATGGGGAGCAAATTATCAGGATTACTATGGTAACAACAGGGAGTGAATGATGACTTCAAGGTCACGACAACATATGCATCTTGTAGGAACAGCTAATTGTCTGACTCTACTCACTGACACCACAACATATTTTTCACTAAATACCTCAGTATTTGAATTTTGCTGCCTCCAGCGACTATTAACATATTTTGCATTCATTCTTTGAATAAATCCCCACTAATGTTTCCAGTGAAAGTTCACAAACATATATTCAATTTATATTTAATGAGACAGTGTGAGTTAAGTAAATGAGTGCTAATTAATTGAAGCATATGTATAGTGGGCTGAGAGGATTAATTAGTTAATGTTTGCAGAGAGCTCTAAAAAATGTAAAAATCTATCTAAACATGAACTGTGCTTTGGAAGAAAGAATGAGAGTGAGGAGATGAAGAGATACAGAACATTATATCTAACATTTAATGAACACCTCAAAATCATGCATGGTTTGTCATCACTGTTATCTGCAATGAGAAACTAGCCACATATTCGATAAAACCTGATTAATCAGTCATTACTTTTCAGTTAAAAGTAAAATGGGCCAAATTTTCCAGTTCTGTCTCCACTGGGACAGTGCCACATGACATGACTACCCAAAGTTACCCAGAGTTACTGGGCAAGCACCAAGAGGGGACAGCATGGCCCAAGGGCAGGAACAGTGTTCGAAGGGTTCCCAGTGCTGGCTTGCTGAGTCCCAGTGATCTCCAGCTAAATGAAGAACACAATTTTTTCTACTGCTCCCACCCATTTCCACGGCACCCAGCAAATCCCTGAGCTGAGCACTGGCTTCAGGGTGGAAATCACCAATGCTCAAACCTTCTGCAACCCCTACACACATCTTCCCTCTCCTCCTTCCTCCTCTCAATGATTTGGGCTCCTGGGCACTGTCTGTGTACTTGGAGACCTGCCTGGCAGCATGAATGAAGAAAAAGAGCACTTAGAGCTTTCTAGCACAGTCTGCCACTGCCAGGGAGAAGGCAGCTTGGTCAGAGTTACCCCCACTGCTCCCTGGGCTGTGCTGAGACAGCTCAGACCCCACAGCCCCAAACCCATCCAAATCCACACAGCCCCAGGGCTGAGAGCCTGCTCTGCAGGCATCATCTCAGGGAATGATGGACCCTTGAGCCAGAGGCAGCCAAAGCTGCCCCACGTGCTTTCACCAGCCCTGCCCAGCACTCAAAGGATAAGCAGGGAATATTTGTGGGCAGACAGCCAGAAAGATTGTGCTTCTTTGACTTCTGCCAAGGTAGTTCAGTTCATTTTATACAAAGCTGGAGAGAAGGGGCAGACCAAAGTAAGTCTTTGGGAAGGCTTCTTTAGACAGTGTAATTGATGCAGGGCAGTATAATTGATGTAGGTTTGTATTAGAAGAGCTTTCCAGGACAACACACTGGTAAACCTTATGCTCCTGCTAAACAGCCCTAGAAATTAATTTAGCTGTCTGCAAACATTGAATAAAATAATCTACCTGACCTCAAGGTGAGTCTTTCAACCAAAACAGGGCAAGGAATGTGCTTCCCCCTTCACCTCCTGAAAAACTTAATAAAATACAATGAAGAAAAAGAGCCTACCTGTGACAGCTGCTCAGCACCTGGGCTGTGCTGTGTCCTCAGCAGATGCAGGCACTGAATGCACAGGAGCCCAAATTTCCTCCCACCTTCACATGAGACACTGAATAAGAGGGAAAACCAGCACAGTATCTGTGAGGGGTCCTGCTGGGGCTTAGTTGGCACTCTGGTGCTGTGGCAGCAGCTCTCTGACCATAGACAACTTTCCCAGGCATTGTCCTGGGGAAGGCTGTGAGTAGATCAGAGAAAAGAATGATAAACAATTCTTATCTTCACTTGCTGCACCTGTTGTTGTGAACATGTGGAATGTGTTATGGAGATTTGTTTACCAAAGGGTGGTTTCTTATTAGCCAAGGGTGATGGTGTTTTGATTTAAGGACCAGTTGGATCCACCTGTTTCTTGACTGTCTGTGAGGGCGATGGGTTTCTTAATAAGTGTAGGATAATGAAGTGATTGGTCATCCTTCTGAGAATCATGGAGCCAATGCTAATCATTACCCAGCTGGGGGCCTGCAGTGACATGATACCAAGTGCCCCATGCAGGTGAGATCCATAACCAGCACCCAAAATCCTAAAGCAATCATCTACCTATTAACCCCTGAAGTCAGGGGAAATCTCCCAGATCTAGCTCCCACAGCATGGAACAGTCTATTCAAACAGTTTTTGGGCTGCTGTGATCTACTTCGAAAGCCCAGATCCAAAGCAACACATCCCTGGAAAGATTTGGTTAGTTATAAACTCCAACAAATGGCAGCCTCATCTCCATAGGCGCCTCCTGCCTGCTGCAGACAAAGGCAGCTCAGGGCAGTCTCAGGGAGAGATTGTGGCTGCTGCCCCAGGCAGGGCTCCCCACAGGTCAGGAAAAGCTTCTGCAGCTTGTCTGGATACAATTCTGCAGCAGTACCAAGGAGGAGGAATGCCCTTGGATGGCAGGGGCAGAGAAAGCAGAAAGCTCAATGGCCAGATGCAAGGATGTACAAAGCAGCACAGGACAGCTTCTTTTCTAGAATGGTCTGCCACTGGCTTTCATTATCCCCCCCAAAAGGGCTAATGACCTGCTTGCTTGCTGTCCCACCAGCCACCCTGCTAACTTGAGGGGCTCTCTGGGCAGCATCCCGCAAGAACAAATCCATGTAAGCACATGCCTCCAAGCAGCTGCTGCCAGCATGACTGGTGTGCTGCTCAGAGGAGAACCATGTCTTCTTTCAGGAGAATAATCCTCATTTGTTCAGTAGACTTAGGAGGGTCTCAATGGTAAGGAATGCTGCATGATTTATTCAACAGTGCCTTTCTCCTGGAAGGACATAAGCCATTCTCTTAGGAGACCCACAAAAATCACATTAACACTAATGTGTTCTTTGATGATTAGAGAGTTTCCCTGGCAACACTCCATCAGTGCAGGCTGGCAAAATATATTGTCATAATTGGAGATAGACTTTTCCCCCTTTTGCATTACAAAGTAATCCAGCTGAAGGACTCCAACTGGATTCTTCCACATATGGTGCCTATTTTCAAATAAAACCATCTTCTCTGAGATTATGGAAGAAGCAAGTTTTCAGGAATTTCCCCACTCTGTCAGTTGTGTGCTCATGTGGTTTTGTTTAGCACAAAGCAAGAACTGGATCTCCCATCTGTTGCTCCATGGCTCATGCAACATTTAGCTGAGTGTTTTGTATTAATGATGGTCACCATTAATAAAACAGTTTGTAGATTAGGAATTTATACCACCTTTATAATTAATAGGAAACCTCTTGCTAAATCTCCTCTATGGTACTTTCTGTCCTAAATTCTCAAAACACTTTCTCTTCCTATCCAGATCCCACTGGCAGGCCATAATCTACCATGGGGAACTGGCTCATCTACTAATTGGGAAAAAATGGAGACATGGCAGGGCACCAGCTGGTGCAGCTATTGCAGGAAATCACAGCTATCAGCCTTAATGAGAGAGACCACAGCAGCTATTAGAGAAGCTGTTGCACCAAACATCAGTAGAATTTCTATATTCTTCAGTAGATAAGCACAGTCAAAACCTCAAACATTTGCTAGAAGCATTGATTAAGTTTGCAAGCACCAGCACCCACTCGGGGATACCAACCTGACCATAATTATCTGTGTGACTAAGTCCTGACAAACACTTCCCTGGGAGAAGATAAGAGGCTTTAGGAACTGATACCTGCCAAGACCTGTTCCATATTCCCAGTCTGGCTACTGAGAAAATTCAAGCAGCTTCAAGCCTCAAAGAAAACTCGAGGCAATCGCTGGTGAAAAGACAAAGCCTTGATCTCTCCCCAGAAGCTGGACTTGAAGTTTAATAATGGGTCCTGAAGAAACAGAAAGCATAAATTATTTCTGTTAAAAGTACAGAATTAAAGTTGTGTTAATAGAAGTCATTTAGCCATCTGAGCAGTCTCCTAGCAATTGCATAAATTACTGACAGAACAAGGAGTTTCAACCAGAACATTATTTCATGGACAGACCCTGACTGATTTCCAGGCAAGCAATAACAAGCACTCTGGAGGGAGCTGCTCTATCCTCAGATGAATGGAATTAATAAGAACAGAAAGCTGTTTAATAAACAAAGTCCCCCTTTTTCTCATGTGAGCTGTACAGGAACAGAGTATGTGAACAGGGAAGCCTTTGCTATTTCTCTGGATTTCCCAGACTGTTTCCTCTTCAAGCCTTTGCCACTCACTTTAAGCCCATCACTTCTAAGCCCCAGCTGCTTTGATCTGCAGCAGAGCCCATGGCACTGCTGACACCTCCTGAGAGGGTTTGTCACCTCTGCAAATCCATATGCTCCACTCAAGGCAGTATTTTGACTGGTCTCTCTCTGCCTCCGGGGACAGAATGGCAGAGTTTTGGTTTAAATCTGTTATTCCCCTCTAAGACTCAGCCATTTGTAGCTCATAAATTGCAGTTTAGCAGATAGATGGAGATGTTCAAGTTTATCTTCCCACACAAGTAACAGCAAATTGTAGTGTGAGCCCTGCGTGCAATTTTGTTCAAGTGCCCTGAGGCTGGGAAGTGGCTCAGGGAAGCTGTTTTGCTGGAGATGAGCACTTTCCCAGGCACCATCTTTCCAACACAAAGCTCTTCTCCGTCTGAAGTGGCTCTGGGAAAAGTGATGGATGCACTGCAGGCAGAAGCTTTGTAAATGGCCCAAACTGAAAACAGTGAGCAAAAACTGCTTGTTTGAGAAAAACATCTCAGAACTTCTTTCTGAATAGGAAAAAAGGTCATTGGACTTCTTTTAATTGTGCCTAAGAAGGTTCTGTACATTCCCAGGGAGCAGCAACAGTCCTGCTGAATCACCATGAGGAAAAGCCTGTGTCTGGGCAGATCTGGCTTTGCAGACAAGAAGCTTCAAATTCCTTAGGACTAGAGGGATTTGAAAGAAGAGCCAGCTGTGCACACATTTTACACAGGCGAGCTGGATCCTCCAGCTACTATCACAGTGAAGTTTATCACCATGGGCAGAAATGAGCATGGGAAACTTCTTTTCCTGAGGCACTTCCATGTGGAACCATGGCTGTAATCTCATTCAGTTTATCTATAAAGTGCCTAAAGCAATCTCAGGCCCATCCATGTCTCCACAGCTGAAGGCACAGAGATAGCACAGTCTGGCTGATTTCACAGCAAAGGTAATCTAGATTTTAATAAGACATAAACTAAAGACTTGTGGCAAATGTTATTTTTAGGATGTGATGGTGTCAGACTGGAAGGAGCATTTCTGTCCCACCGGAGTTCCCAGTCTGTGGCAGTGTCATGGGGTGATCAGTCCCAGAGGACAGACTGCACACCTGCAGAGCCACAGGAACACCTCAGGTCTCTTGTGACCCACTCCCACACAGGGCTGGCTCTCCTGTTTATGGCAGCACACAGCAATTCCCCCATGCAAGACTTCATCTTCTCTAGGGAGACACTGCAACAGTCTGGCACCTTGGCCCCCTTCTGCCACTGCATTTCTGGGGAAAGCAGAGAGAGATGGGGCTGCCCAAGACTCTCTGTCCCAGATTTCTGTGGCACATTCCAGACCTACGGCACTGGTGGGTGCAGAGCCTCATCAGCTCCCTGTGGAAACTGGCTGACCAAATCTTCCTGGTTTCCAATTGTCTTGCAAGCCTGAAGATCATTAACAGGAACGAGCAGAGAAGGGGAATGGCACAGTGCTCTGTCAAAGGTTCACCTCTGACAAGCAAGCCCCTCACAGCTGCTGCTTCCATCCAGCTCCAGTGCAACCTCTATTTATTTACCCGGGGCTCTCCACAACCCACAGAGACATCAAGTGGCCAAAGGATCCAGTTGCACATACTGAGCAGACTGCAGACTTGCTGAGGAAGGTTTGGGAGGAGAGTGGAACATCTGAGCTTAAACAAAGTTGGGCCGTTCACAACCCAGCAAGGTTCTCCACATTTTTATTCAATGTTATTTAATTTTATTTATTCTTTCTCTCTTTTGATTATAAACCTAGTAAAAACATGCCAAAAAGAAAAAAAAAAAAAGAAACCAAATAAAACCACCGAGAAAACATGCAAAAAACCCCCATCAAACAAAACAAACAGAAAAGAAACTAGAAACTAGGTGATCCCTGAAGACTGAGTGTACACACTCACCAGTCCACACAGACACTGCCCCTGCAGAGTGTGTGACAAAGCCCCTCAACACAGCAATCTGCTAAAGGAGACCCTGGCACTGGGGCCTGTGCTCAGGCAAGAGAGGCATCACAGTAAACAGCTTGTGCAGATTTATTTCTTGCAGTCTGCCCTCGCTCACCTTCTCCCTGTATAAAGTGGCTACTATTACTATGATTAATTTGGGTTTGTTTGGGGGGTTTTCCCCGTGAATCCCTGCTGTGATATTATCAGTAACACAAAGCAGAACAGAATAGAGGGGGGAAGTCTTTCTCTCAGAGAGCTGGAAAAAAAAACATTTCAAAGCTAATCCTCAACCAAAACTCACATCAGTTGCTCCTTTCTACACCTTCCCCTCTGACAGTGACAGGCTGGGGACCTTGGCAGCAAGTCCAGGAGCCCCAGAGGTGCTGATAGGTACCATCCCTAATGATGATGCTGTCAGGAGCTTGCCAGTACCTTCTGGGAACCAACTTGCTAAATCTTAATTATTAAACCAGTTGATCCAGTCTCACACCAGAAGCTAAGAGGGTGAGGAGTTTATGGGACAAGTGTT